GCATCACAGAAAAACCACTGGAGGGATTTTGATAAAATTTGGTATGGTGATAGCTGGTTATCCTGGTCAACATATAGGATACTTTTTACCTCGGGAAAATATTTCATTTCTGAGAAAAAATAGAAAAACTGCAATGTAAAGAATATACTAATATGTAAAACCTAAGAATTTGGTTTTTGGTCATCTGAACGCGGGCGGAGCCGCGGGCAATACTAGTATACCTATATTTTCTGAATAGACGCTATTTTTATTTTTTTTCGGAAAACGCGAAACAAAGTTAGGTGACTTAAATAATAAAAGGCAAAATGTTGTAAATAATATATTAAATATTGTCTTAGTACAGTGTCATAGTTATGGAGAAAGTATTAAACAATCTGGCAGTACGACAATGTGAGAGATATGACAATCTACTTGATCAGCCCCCAGCTATTATGGCACCTTCATTCTGATTCCACAACGCAGAAATAATAACGAGGCGTATTTGAGGATCAGAAAAATGGAACGACAGCGCGCGTGACACGAATAAAGCTTAACATGTGATTGTCGATGACTTCGGTTGTAGGGATATTTTGTGCGTTGGTTTTATAAAATTTTATATTAATATATAAATATAATTTTATTGCACATTTCAATTTCATACTAATATGCAGTGTTGTTACGATGTTGGTTGTTTTTACCGTTAAAGTGATTTTTTGGGCGAGATACGAATCAACTCTATCGTTATATATATATATATATATATATATATATATATATATATAATATTTGAAAAAATAAATATTCGTGAGTCTGTAACTTTGTTGTTATTGATGATATGAAAAAGTTGACAAATACTTTTTTATAGGATTTTTAAACGTACTACAAATTTGCCATTTAACATTTTCTCTCTAACTCGTACAGTTTAGCTAAAAAATGCAAAAAATCGTAAATTTGAACTTCAAAACCATATAACAAATCAAATATTGAAGATAGAAATTCGACTCAATGGACTTTTTTTGTAGTAAATTTAATACTAAAAACGGTCCATTCATTTTTTTGAAAAATATTTTCGTCACAGTTTGCAGGACATATATATATATATATATATATATATATATATATATATATATATATATCCATGTGTACATATTTCATGTATAAGTAGTAGTAGTAGTAGTGAAGTATAATTGAGGATTCAACTAACGTATTACCTACATGACAGTTTTTACAAAATACGGGAGGGAATACTTGTTTATACAAAATATAGTAGGTATACTTAGCAAAAAATGCTAAAGACAAAATATATCCATGTATGTATATTCTAGTTAAACGTATGAGGACTGAGTCATTCATAAAGCCTTATCATCTTCTTTGAATGTCATTAATTAGAAAACGAAAGTTATATTTTTAATACATTAAAAATTGATTTTTTATTTTTATCACTCACTAAAATTGATATATATTTTTTTTTAATTTTAACAATATTTTTTTTTTGACTCTATTATATAAGGTAAGGACATTAAATGTTTATCTATCCATATTATTTATTAAAGAAAAACCACAAGTCTACTTGTGTTACATGATCTTCAAAATGTTAGCTAAAAACTTTATGAACAAACAAATATTTCTATCTAATTTCTCAGTAACATAAAAAAGCTGTATTAAATTTTGTATGTAAAATCACAAAGATGATTAAGGTTACGAAACATTCATTGCGTATTCTTTGCGTGTTCCTTTGAAAGTGTTATGAATACATACTGACTACTTAACCTGGTTTTGTCGAAATAAAAATATATCATCTCTCTTAAAATAATTTATTTTCATTATACTTGTAATAAAATATTTAGAATAAAAAAATATATATTTTTTGGAAAATCTTATTGAAATAGTCATTATTATCGATACAGAGACCGAATCAAAATTTTTTTTCTATTTTTTTATTAAGAATTATAATCTATGTTTTTAGATTTTGTGTTAGTCTGTCTTGGAACGCATCACGAGAAAAGTACTGGATAGATATTGATGAAATTTGGTATGATGATAGCTGGTTATCCGGGTCAACATATAGGATACTTTTTACTGCGGGAAAATATTTTTCTCTCTTTACTTGAAATTTAATCAACCGAAGAAAACAAAATAACTATCTATAAACTGATAAAATTAGTTTGACGCAAATGACCATTGAATTTTGGGGTGTAATCGCCTCAAACATGCAATTTTCCGGGCCTAGGAAAAGCTATTTTTGTTCTTTTAAATTTATTTTCTGCATCAAAAAAAATTTAGTTTTGCTCTTAGAATGGCTTATTAAGGCCAAAAATCAAAATAGTTATGTCAAAAAAAAATTTTTTTCAAGTTTTGGTGCTTACGCAATTTCAGCTCCTTAAAATCTCATAATTCGGGACGACGAAGATTGAACTTCACCGGTAAAAGATAACATTCGAGGACGCAAGGGAGAAGACATCGCCAATTTTCCAACATTGCTTGCTAAGTATTTTATGACAGACAAACCAGTAGTAACTATTTTTAGGCGACTCGGGACTCAAACCCATTACGATCTGCAGCCGTGCATATGTACTTGCCGTGTAACGAGTATTACTTTAATTAAAAAACAGTACGCGAAAATTATAAATAGTTACGTGAATTGATTTTATTTATTTATTTATTAATTTACACTTTATTGTACACCACAATCATGAAGTAAATACAGTTACAAAATATAAAACAAAAACAAAAGTGTGCACAAAAGGCGGTCTTATCGCTAATTAGCGATTTCTTCCAGACAACCTTTGGGTTAGGAAATATGGAAGACTATTAATACAGGGTGGGTGGTGTAAATATTAAATATTATATACAATACATACCATGTTACAGCCTAATACTTAGAAATACTACATATATATATATATATATATATATATATAAAATATATATCTATAAATTAAACTAATACATATTTAAATTATAATTAATATAAATGATTGTACTATGTCGACTTTTTATTTAGTGAAATGATCTCGAAAATGATTATGAACAGATTTTTTAAATATTTTTAATCTTTTAGAACGTTTTAAATCAACAGGCAAACTATTCCAAAGTTTGGTTGCTTGTACAGAGTAGGGGTTCTCGAAGATTTTGTATATTAATGAATAATTTTAAGCAACTTCAAAGATTAAAAAAAAGAAAAGTCTATTTACAGATACTTCATTCAACGTGTTTTATGGAGCTTAAGAACAGATTTCCATATTTTTTTAGTCAATAACAAACGTCCCCCATTAATATTTCGAAGTAAAGTTTCACTCCTAAGGGTGGAAAAATTATATTTAAAGTTTAAATTATATTTAAAATTAATTTTTAAGCTAATGTATGTACCTTTTGAGTTAATTTTTCATTCAAAACAAATTATTAGTATAAATATAATATCTCGTATATCTAAAATAACTTATTTACTACTAGCAACTCACCCTCGCTTCGCTCTGGTTCGTTACTAGATACGATTTAACGGTTTTTATGAATATAATATTCATTTATTATACATATAAACCTGAAGCCTTCTATCTATTGCTGAAAATAAATTAAAATCCGTTGCGTTGTTTAAAAGATCATAGCGTACAAACAGCGGGAGTGACTTTGTTTTATACTATACTAGCAGAACCCGCGGCTTCACTCGCGCTAAAATTACAAAGAAACTAAAAAGGTATGTTTCATACAAACTTTTATCCCCTATTTTACCTCGTTATGGTATAAATTTTGAAAAATGCTAAAACATGTATTTATTTAATTATATTGAAGAGCAATTAATACAAAGTTTCAAGTAATTCTGATCATAAATATTTTTTGGGTTGTATTATAACGTGTTTTCCCGTGGGAATGAGATAATCTCCCGCGATATAAAGTAGCCTATATTACTCTCCAGCCCTCCAACTATCTCCACACAAAAAATCACGCCAATCTGTCAATCCGTTTCGGCGTGAAAGAAGGACAAACGAATAAACAAACAAACACTTTCACATTTATAATATTAGTATGGATGTAGATTATAACATCATAAAATGTCATTTAACTACTATACCTATTATTGAGTTCGAAAACTGTAACTTGTAACCATCGGTTCAGATTTCGAGTTATAGCTTAATCTCTAGAAAGTATGCGCTTCCATTTGAGCTCCAGATCATGATTAAATGAACTAATATGTCTTCCGGAGGAAACCAGGTCACATGGCTATTGAGAAAACAGTATAAGCCATATAAAGTATAGGTTCTTAATATATATGCTTCGTGCTTACTTAAAGGAAGCTTAATCATTTGTGTGTGTGTGTATGAGCAAAACGGCTGGTGCGATTTTGATGAAATTTTCAGGCAATTTTCAGATTAGCCCAGGGGGTGATCCTATCATATTTGTTAGTGATAGTTAGTTTGAACTTGGACGAAGCCGCGGGTAATACAAGTAACTTATAAAACATGAATAAATTTCTCATTTTCACCAAATTGCCATTCTTGACACCTTAAGTGCTAAGAATCTCTTAGGCTAAGTAGTACTCTATAATAATCCCAACTTAGGAGGAACTTAAATATTGAAACCCTACAAAAGTATTTTGTTATTCATTTTCAGATTAACATATTACTATGGCGTTTACTATATTTCATCTATCGTTTAGTTGTGTCCGTTATTACTCAGGATGAGATCTTACCCGTAGTATCCAATAAGAAACCCAATGAAAATGATTAGGCAGATCACAGACACACATTTCAATTTTAAATATACGTAATCATAATCTATACAAATAAATAGAAGTGTCAGTTTGTCAAAATAACAGCTTTTTACTAAATGCATATGAAAGCATATAAAATTTTTGGTTATCAGTTCCGGCTAATTTCCGAAATGGCTGGACAGATTTTGATAGACTTTCACTGGCAGATATCTGATGTTATAAGGAGTAACTTAGGCTACTTTTATTTTAGAAAAAGAATTAGGGTACCACACAAAAATCAAAACTTATGAAATTTTGAGCAAAAGCGTACCTACGGACAAGTCACTAGTGCACAATAAAATATATCTACCCTTTTAACAGTACCGTCGCTTTCACCGTTCACTATTTCTGTCCGGAACTCGATAGCGTTGGGCTTAAGCACCTCAATACTGTAGATAAAAGGCTCCATTATTTTTCTCATTAGTTCGGATGGATCGTCCTCGCGCGTTGTATCAACGGCATCTACCTGATGGGGAGTGATTCTAATAACTATCTTGTGTATTGTAAGGTGATATATAAACTCTTAATTTTAACTGACTTCAAAAAGGAGGAGGTTCTCAATTCGACTGTATGTTTACTTGTTTACTTACTTTGGCTAAGTAATTAAAGCCTACCTATTAAATACATACCTAATCAAATATTTTCGAAATCGGTGCCAGCCCATGCAAAGCAAAGCACACCGACTTCGAAAATATTTGATTAGGTATGTATAGTAAATGAAAACTACCAATCAGTTATTTTTTACTTTTTAGTGCTTTTGTTTGAAGTCGGTTTTTATTTTTTTGTTAAAAAGTTTTTATTGTATAATAGATAGTAGACATATTTTAAGGATTTTGTTATTAATATTATTATTATTGATGTTGATGTTGAGATAAAAAAACGTGTGTGTGTACTTATGTACGCACGTAAGAAGTTATACTTCTTTAGCGTAACAGAACAGAAGTAGCTAAAGATTTTATCCCGTATGTCAGAACTCTCTGTTTGTAAAAGGAATGCTAACTTCATCATGTCGCTTTTTGGCTGTCGATGTGCGCACGCATCATAAAAATTATAATCATCATTTTTTTCCACACGTGCCAAAAGAAGTATAATTTCAAAAATATTCTGAAAAATTACAATTACTTACTTTATTATTTTCAAATCTGCCTTTGGTTCACTTTAGCTCTCGCTTTATCCTATACCAAAAACGAACCTGTGAACCGAACATGTGCAGTCTTGTAAAATAAAACTTGTTTTGACATTCGACCTCTACAGTTTTATTATATATATAGATTTCAAATTAAAAATAAAAATAGTATATTTCATGCTAAAACCGATGTACGAAATACTTTTCTTCATAAACCATATATACGTAATTAAAATAAACTTCTACGACCTATGTCTATTGGAAATGTTATTATATTTCGAAGATACATCATTATTATTCATTAAAACGGCCCAAATGAACAACAAGTATGGCCGATTGAATTGTAAAACATTTTCGAAAAGCGTTGATTACTGCTAACGATGCGTTTCATTATTCTCTTCGCTTATCGGAATTGTTTTTAAAGTTTATATGCAAATTCAGACGGTATCGTGCCGAGGTATTTTATTAATATGGCCCTTTTATTTTACGTGGTCCTGTCCGAAAAGTTATTTATACCGTGAACGTATGGATTCATTTTCAAATATACATTCATTGATACATGAAGTATGGAGCTTATAGAATTCGATTATAGTTAAGGTATATCCGATGGGTAGGAGTGGAAAAATTGAGCTGAAGTCACTTGTAATATTTTGAAGTCTGTTTAGGTCTTATATTTTTATAGCTATTCTATATTTGAGTCTGGAAAAGTTTCAGTCAAACTGAAAACTAAAATTCGCTACCTACATTAACATTTAGCCTACAATCACTACTATAACTAACTTTACATTACATTTATAATTTTTTACATACAATAAAACCGCTTGTTAGCTTTTGCTGGATATTTTTTACTTTCCGATTAATATCAACAATACAATAAAAAAGCTCTTTAAAATCTCTACACCCATTTCACACGATGTAAACGCAAACAGACGGCCATACAAAAATATCCATACCAACTATAATTTATTTAAGAAACAATTAATATACTGACTTAAACTCATACCAGCCACTACTTAATTACATGCTCAGATTTAAAGTAAAACGAGTATATTTCAATTACGTAAACAATATTACTCAATTTTTTTATATAAAAATCGTAATTACGATACGTAGTATGAATATAAATCAAAATTATTACTTGATCCCAATCAAGGAAAAGCTGTTTTTATTTGTTTTGCTATAGCAATTAGCAATGCATGAATCTCTCCGATTCAATGATAAAAACAGAATATACATAAAATTCAAAAATTATACCTTATTTCCATAGAATAAAGACTTATTTCCAATGATATGTTTAAAGTGTAGCCACTTTAGCGTTAGAATTAAACATCAAATTGATTCCATTTTGTAAATCAACAGAAGCAAGGACCAAATTAAATGAACCTTAAATGAAAACTGGAGTCAAGATTGCCTGAATGTATTAATTTAACTAATAAACACTTTGAGATTTAATTATTTACAGTCAGTTAATTTCATTAAATATGCTATTGAATGGAATAAGAACAAGATGGAAGATGAATAATTCCCAGCTCAATGGCATCTAGATCGTGATAATTCATATATATAGAGACTATCATAAAGTGGTGCCTCGTAATAAACAGTAAATCACTTGGTATACTGCTTCTTACAAGTATAATTAATTAATATATAAACACACTAGCATTGCCCGCGGCTCCGCCCGCGTTCCGATGACCAAAAACCAAATTCTTAGGTTTTACATATTAGTATACTCTTACATTGCAGTTTTTGTATTTTTTCTCAGAAATGAAATATTTTCCCGCGGTAAAAAGTATATTCGTACTCATCACACAAATGATGACCGCTAGCCTTCGAACAACCATACTGCTAGATATCGAGTCGGCGTAAGAAATATGTCTCAGTAAATATAAGCTCACTTGCAAAGCGAGCGTATATTTCGATTAGTTCTATGGAAACACTGCCAGCGTAAACACGTTCACAATGCCACAATATTTATTTAACAGTTACAAAAATAATGCACGCAGAAGAAATTTTTCAGACGGAGTATCTTATTTTCGGTAAATACATGTAGATTAAGTCAATATTTTAAGATTTAACCTACGAAATTATATAGAAAAATTTTTTTGAACAATTTTAAATCCGCTAAAAACGTTGGCCCAGGTCGACCAATACGCCTGTATTGCAATTGGCAAATTCTAAGAAGCAAACAAACAAAATATAACGATTCAGCTCACAAAACAACAACGTGAAAATGTGCTTTGATTTTTTTTATATAAGGTTCATTTTACAATAAACATTATAAAACATACGAAATGATCGTAAGTGTATGATGATAATTTGAAGATTTGTGACTCTATTACATGGTGCTATGGTGTTGATTAGCTTGAAAATAAAACTATTATAAGACTTTGTCTTGGTTCGTTAGTACAAATGTAGCTGTATAAGTAGTCGAAGGGTCCATACAAGACGTCTTACCTTAAAATGTATTTGCTATAATTTAACATTCATTTATTTATTTTTAATGTACAAATGTTATTTTGGATATATATATATATATATATATATATATATATATATATATATATATATATATATATATATAATAGCTGTATTTCTTTTTGCATGCATAAATGGTTTTTTGTGTTCTTTTTTGGAACGGCTTACCACTGCTAAAATTTCACCTTTCGCTACTGATAAGTACATATCCGCGCGGACAGAATTTAGCTTTGATTTTGTATGTGACACGATATCTAGTAGTATTGTTGATCGAAGCCGCTGGTACAGCAAATAGGGTCACTACAAACTGAGCTAAACGTGTCATCGAAAAAGTAAAGCTTATAAAAGATTTAAAAATCATAGCCTCGTAAAGAAGGATAATTCAATAAATACATTTTCGCGTTTAAATTTTTTTGTAAATAATTATTATTATCAATATCTAATAAGATTTATGGTAACTAGATTTATCTACAATAATTAACTTAAATAAAAATACGTCTTATATATAAATTAATTTATATATAAATTATGTTTTATGTACAAATTTCATTTTTGAATCTTTTGGAAAAAAAAAGATTTATTGATTTAATGGTGGTCATATTGATTACAAATACAAAACCAATTCCTAAATCGTCGATTAATATGCGTATCATCAAGTAGTAATGCTAAGTGTCCCGATTGAGACATGGTATATTAATTTCATTTAAAGAAAATAATTTTTGGGTACATATACGATATAATGTGTTAATCTATTATATAAAAATGAATCGCTGAATGTGTTGGTAAGCGTAAATCTCGAGAGCAGCTGAACCGATTTCGCTAACTCTTTTTTTAGAATATACCTTAAAGTACGAGAATGGTTCTTACGACGAGAAAAATTTAAAAAATTGCATGAGAAAGTCTAAAAACAACACTTTTCTATACTCCTATACAAATGATTCGTAATAATACTTAAAAGTCAATTTGAACTTTAATACCATAACATAAAGTTTAAGTGTTAGTGGAGAGGTTCCGGGAAGGCAAAACATTGGTGGCAATTGAGTGACGTTAGTATCGTATAAATATTAATGTCAATATTTGTCAATATTATTAACAAAAAAAATTAAAATTTATATGGCTAACGCTGGCTAATAACTATTTATATATATTCAAAACGTACCTAGCGATGAACCCGAGCGAAGCGAGGGTGAGCCGCTAGTGTGTTAATAATAATTTAGATCTAATACAAACAGTATCGAGACTAATATATTACTTTAAGAAATCATTTTTTTTTGTTTAGATCTATTTTGCTTAGAGCGCCCTCAATTTTCTCATAATGTAGTATATTTTAAATTTTATGTGCAATAAAGAATATGTATAGGTATAGTCAAAGGTTTATGGGTAGTTAAGCTATAATTGCTTTTCTAAAGTCACCACATTTCTACTCTGGGGGACACTAAGCTATTTCATCAATAACAAATTGTGCGCTATGAAGATATACAGGGTGAAACGATAAACTTATTAAAGTAGGCAATACTTAGTAATAAATAGAACCTATTTTGAAGATATGCGTTAATGGACAAATAAACTGTAATATACAAAATTGGGCAAAAAAATACTTTTTATCAAGAAATGTCATAAAACTTTCATTTTTTTATAGCAAACTTTTACACTAAACTTTATTATAAACTTTAGTAAACTATTATTCACACTGCTTTTACTTTTAACGCGAAAGTTTGTTTATGGGTGTAATTTGTTTGTTAATTTTTCCTTCATGCTTAACCGATAGACTATGTCCTAGAATAGTACATAGGCTACCTGCTGGCTACTTACTGTATGTTATGAAATGTGGTAAAAGCTGGCGCTGATCTTTTATTGAAGAGTAATTGCTCGGAGGAACGCATACCATCTGCCTGCGTACAGGTAGTTATGTAGGACTCACGGGCTAAAAAATTAAAAACTCAACGGAAGTTCTCCCGTCTTAATAGGATGTCGCAGCACCGCTTACCACGCACCAAGACCAGGTAAGCACTGAACACACATCGGGGGGTACCTAGAAACGCACCTGACGGAGGGTTGCGTAAGTTAGTAGTAAGAAAAATCACAATAATTCTACTAATAGCAATAGGTATATAAATGTAAATGTATGTGAATGATTTGTGTTTGTTATAAAGGCTCAACGGATTTGAGTGAAATTCGGACTGGATATAAATATTATAAAGAGTACCAAGCGAGTAGAGCCACGAGCATTACCGATGCTAGTGTTCACTTAATCACTTTTTTATTGATAACCCAAAATCACGTATATAGATTCTAAACAAAAAAATTTATATAAAATGTTTAAAGTTAAAAGTTAAAAAGGTACTTTGATGCCATTTTTGAATTTTTGGATTCATTTTGTTATTTGTGGGTAGGCTATCTGTAACAACTATATAATACCTTAGAGACATCTAACACCTCAGTCTCTCCCGTGACCGTGATTGCTGTGTGTGAAACGTCGGGAACCAAAAATCTAAATAAATTCGCGAAAAAATCGAATAGATAGTTTTATTTAAAATGTCAAGTATTCGCGTAAATCTAAGAAAGTATTATAAAAAAATCGGTTGACAAACAGAAGAGAAAAAGGT